CTCGTTTTATTTGCACGAGAAACAAGCCCCGACCTCGCTGGGGAGGCCTCCCTGCAGGGCCTGACGGAGACCCCTGGAGGCGAGGGCGTGTGGGTCAGTCTGCAGGACCGGTTCTGCAGCCCTGGCTGTATCTGCACGTCTATCTGCTCATTAACATTCCTGCCTGCCGCGCAAGTTAACCCCGGAGCCGCCGGCCCCTGAGTCAGCCGCGAGCCCTCCCTGTGCGGCAGGCACTCAGCAATGTCCCGGTGATGATGACGGTGACGGGCCAGAAATGCAGCCCCCGGGGGCCGGGTTGCCCAGGCAGGAAAACAACCGCCCGGCCCGCCCGAGTGGAATGAAATGTTGCGAGTGCCAATGTCAATAGTAACAAACTGCTTCCCGTGAGGAGGAAGTTCCGGGCGGCCACTAGGGCTGGGCTTTGGCGTGCAGCTCCGATAGGGGGCCTGGAGGTCAAAGGGGGCTCAGGGGCCCCCGTTCCTCTGGGTAGCCCAGGATCGGGGCGGGGGGAGGGTCTTGTGCACAGAGGGGTTCTCTTTGTTCGCTGATTTGTCCTCCCCGCTGGTCCTGTTCCCAGTTGCCATTGTAACTGTTTTCCCCATAGCACAGCCAGCTCCGCGCTACAGTAGCTACAGTAGCGACTGCCCTGTGCATGGCTGTAGGCTGTTCAGAAGGCTGCCAGCGAGAAGGCAGTGCCCCCCCCCCGCCCCGCCTTTCCCAAACAGCAGCGGCCACAGGTGTCTCCACATGCTGTCCCATGTCCCCTCAGTGCAGGGCAACAGCGGTGACACGCAGCGGGCATGTGGCCCCCAGGAGGCCGAGCTCCAGCGTAGAGCAGGGCCCTCGCCCGCGGCGCCGCGGACAGTGGCAGCCGGACGCGGCTTGGGGCTGGGGCCGTGCCGTGGGCACTGTGGGAGGTTTCCGTCCGTCTGCCTTCTGGGTGCCTTAGCGCGCCGCCACCCGCCCCGAAAGTCGCCCCCTCTGTCTCCTGGAGGGGAAAGCCACTGCGGGTTCGCGTGGCGGAGCTGGAGGCAGGAAGGGGCCTCGGGGAGCTGGAAGGAGGCTGCCGGTCGCCCCTCGTGTCCCGTTCGCTATCCGGCGGACGGGCTGACCCCTGTGGAAAGCTGGGCACAAGCTCTGGGCTCGGCCCTGCGGCTGGACGGTCCCCCAGCTCATTCGACCCCGGCCCCTGGGCGCGGGTGTCCCAGGCGCTGACCACATGTGACATGAGACGCCGTGGTTATCCGTGTGCGCACGGACATTGGCCATGATACTCGCCAGCGTCGACGGGCTGGCTTGTGGGCCCCCCCCCTTCTGATTCCCGAGTCCTGCGCCCACACCGCAGGCGGGCAGCCCTCTGCCCAGACCCTAAAGGGAAAGGACAGAGAAAGATGGGAAACTGGGTTGGGGTGACTCACGCCGTGGTGACCCTGGTTCTGACCCAGAGAATATAAAGCGGAGGGCGGGGGGGGGCAGCCTTGACTGACCCCCCCGCACGTGAAGGGCCATCACGTTTCCGGGCAGGGCCCTTGGCGTGTGGGACAGCCCCCTGCTGTCCAGCGCTGTGCCGAAGGGGCCAGCTGTCACAGGACACGTCTGCCATTGCATATACATATGTGTGTGTACATACATACACATGCTACCTGCATACTCTTTACCTCTCGCACTGCTCATTGCCTGCACGGGACAACGCTTTGCCAGCTGCAGCCCCGCAAATACTGACGGCCAGCCCTGGGTCCGAAACCACAGAGCGTCTGGATGGCAGCACGTACTGGCGAGTGTGCACATCCCGCCCGAGTGTGTGCTGGCATATCACGGACATGCAATCACAGGTCCCGTTTAGGTGGACGACGTAATGAGTGGATGATTTGATAGACCCACTTATTGGGGAATGTCTACTACCTACAGTCACTTTGGTTCATGTCCTGAATCACCTCACGCTGTTCCAAAATTTGCTTTGGTTGGACTTTTGTTTTGTTTTGTTTTTTTAAGATGATATTTAGTTACTTTTAGAGAGAGGGGAAGGGAGGGGGAAAGAGAGACGGAGAGACATCATGGTGTGGTTGCCTCTCATGTGGCCTCCTACTGGGGACCTGCAACCCAGGCATGTGCCCTGACTAGGAATCGAACCGGCGACCCTTTGGTTCGCAGCCCGCACTCGATCCACTGAGCCACGCCAGCCAGGGCTGCTTGGAGTGGCTCAACGGCCTGTAGAACAGCAGGGGTGCGGTTGTGAAGAAAGCTACAGTGTCCATTTCGGATTCCAACCACCGTCCTGCAGGCAGCCAGCCCTTGAAGGGGTCTTTCCACCGGTCTCCGGCATTTGTTTGGATGTTTTCAGGAGCCGTGGGCTTCTAAAGTGCGAAGACATTCTGGCCCCAGCGCTGGCGTTTGGAGACCGAGGCCCTGGGAGTGTCCTGCCAGGCAGGGAAGGGGTCATCTGAAAGTCACGTGACTCTGAGCATCGGGTGACACATATACCGTGTAGTTGCACCCGCTCCCTCCTGGGCCCCCAATAATTACAGTGTCGCCCACGCTCCCCGGGGACCCTCCGAGGCCGTGTCCGCCACTGAGAGCCTCCCGCACGCCGCAGCCCTGCAAGCCCATTGGGATGGTCAGAAAACCCGACCCAACGAGAAAAGCCGGGCGGAAGGGCTGTGCACGTGGGTCCCTGTGGCTGGGCCACGCCTGACCACCTCTCTCCAGGCCAGACCCCCTGACAGGCAAACTCTCACTCGCTGAAATCTCCCCGGGGCCGCGGCGGCCCGGCCTGGGAGGAAACCAGAGGGGAAGGCCCATCGTGATGACCTTTAAAAAGCCAGGTAGGGGATGCCGGCCAGAGGAAAGAACAGAGGCAAATGGTGTATAGGATCCGAAGAGGAACAAGCCAAAAAAAAAACAGCAGGAAAGAAAGCCTCAGGGACACAGACGCCTGCACGGCGACCACCAGAGAGAACAGGGGTGGGCGGGCCGAGGAGGAAAACTGGACGGGAGTGCGGGTGGAAGCAGACCTGTGTGCCCCGGGCAGGGCAGCGCACAGCAGCACGGGGAGCCCAGCGCGGTTTGCGGGGCTGCGGCCCTGAAACCTATGGACTTTCACGAGCCGCTGTGGTCCCAGAAAATTCACTTGGAAACAACCCTCACCCCCCCCACCCCCGAAAAAAAACCGTATCCAAGTGCGTGTCTGGGGGAGAAGAAAGAAACTGGTGTGGTGAGTGTGTGGGGTCGGTACGTTGTGATTTCTCCCAGCGAGTCCGGTCGCTCTTGGGGCTGGACAATCCTTCGCTGGAAAGGGGGGGGGGGGTCTTGCACACAGTAGGGTGTTTACCCGTCTGCCCCCACAGTCTCCGGGGCACGCCCGGTACTCCCGCCCGGTGGTGACAAGGGAAATGACGGCGGAGACTGTCGCGTGTCTCCCCAGGGGGTGGGCGGGGAGGGGCTGAAGTCGCCCTGGTGTGGAGAAGCTTTGAAACACGAGAAAGGCAGGGTTTGGGCTGCCAGCCACTTCTGCAGCTCCGCACGGCCGATGTGGGGGTGGGGGCAGCCCCCGAGGCTGTCACAGACTGCCCCCTGCACTGTGCCGGCATTCGCAGCATCCTCGGCCTCCGCCCACGGGATGCCAGGAGCACCGCCCGCAGCGGGTGACCGTCAGACACACCTCCGGACGCCTGGCGGGCAGGGTCACCTCCAGGGCCCGCCGCCGCTGCAGCCTGCGGCCGCACCATCTCTCTCTCGAGTCCCCTTTCGAAGGTGGGGAAAGGATGCCCATCTTCCCTTGAGTGTCCCCATAAGAGCCGTTCTGCCCCGCCCGACGGCCCCACGCCCCATGGGCGACCCGTGCACGCGGGTGTCGAAAGGCCCCGTGGGCATCCGGGGTGGTATCCGAGGATGGACGCGTCAGGAGCCGCCGCGGCGGTGGGCTCCAGGAACTGGTCACCGCGAGTCACCTGGGGTGACGGGTGAGGAATGCCTTCCCCGAGGAGGGTGCCGCCCGCCCGCCCGCCACTCTCGCGTGCCTGGGGCCGGAGGGCGCGTGACTCACGGCGGGGTGTGGGCTGGCAGGAGCGGAGCTCAGGGCCGCCTCGCGCTCCCCAACCCGGAGGGGGGTTCCTCGGCTGCCAGCGTGCGGAGGGCACGGGACCGAAGGATACTCCTCGGGGCCCGGGGCTGCTGGCCCGGAAGACACCGGGCAGGTGCTCTGGCCGTCTGCCCGGCGTGGCCGTGTCTGCCTGCCGGCGCGGGCAGCCGCCGCGTCTCAAAGTCGTGGGTGTGCCTTCTGCGGGGGCTCTGCAGACTGAGTGCTCCTGCGTGGACCCCGGGCACACGGAGGAAGCCCTCTCTCTCTCTCTCTCTCCCTCTTTCTCTCTCTCTCTCTCTCTCTCTGTGGCCTGGCTTGCTCTGGGTGCACATGCGGGGCGGCTGGCCATGTCCTGCTGCCTGCACCCACCACCACATTGTCTGGGGGCTCTCGACACCCTCCTGGGCCACGAAGCATCCTCTGTGTCCCCAACCCTGTGCCCCCACCCCCTGCGGCTGGTCCGCCCACCTGTTGGCGGGCGTGCGGTGGGCTTCCCCCGCTGGGCAGTCGTGAACAGTGGTGCCTCGGGCATGGGGCTGTGCCAGTGTGTGTGGGAGGGTCTGCTTGCCTTTCTGTTGGTGGGGGGGGGGGGTCCACCCGGGAGTGCACTGGCTGGACTTGCCCACAGTCATGCTAGGCTGGACGTTCTCGGGACCCCCAGCCGGCTTCCCACCACGGGTGCTGCCCTGTCCGCACCATGCACTACAGTGGCAGGCCCGGAGCAGAATGACCACATCTCCTGCCGGAGCTGGCGTTCCGAGGAACGCCGTCTGCTGTGGAGCAGCCCCGGCAGGCAGGCCACCCGGCCGGTTCTGCCCGGCCTCGGCCGGGCCGCCTTCTCCATGCCCTGCAGGCCTTGGGGACGCTGCCGCCAGTGGGCGGTAAACAGCAGGGGGACTCCCGGAAGGAGACACAGGTCAGCTGACGGGAGGGTCACATGGCCCGCAGGGGACCCATGCACACACACCAGGGCCGCAGCCACCTGCCTGCGGGTGCTGGTGGGCCCCTCCTGCCGTCCCCGGGGCCCACAGCGGCTGCTCGGCCAGACCTAGGTCTGCGGGTGTTTTCCGAGGAGGCTCGACCGGTCTTCGAGGACACCGCACGGGTGGCAGCCTGGCCGGCGCTCCAGGCAGCTGCCTGCCACGCCAGGGGCCTGGGACTAGGTGAGTGGAGCCCTGGGCTGGGAGCCGGGCCCCCATGGGGCCTGCTGGACGGGCCTCCTCCGCCGGCCTGCTCTCCGGCACGGGCCGCCCACGCTTCTTCCACCGCCGGGCTTCTCCCTGCCCCAGCGCAGCCCCCGACGGGTCCCCCGTGCTTCCGAGGCCTGGGGCCTGTGCGGCCGCTGGCCCGTGGACTTTGGCACAGTGCGCGTCCCAGGCCTAGCCGGAGCTGCCGTCCCCGGTGCGGGGCACGAGCCTGCGTCCCCGTCCAGGTCCCATTGCGTCACCCTGGGTAAACACACTCGCGCTCAGCTGACCGGCAGGGAGATGAGGCGGCGTTGCCTTAGGCACTGCAGCCTAGGAGGGGCTCAGGGACTCCAGACGAAGCATTTTCAGACGAGACACAGCTCCTGGAGGCTGCCCAGCCTGTGATCAGGGGAAGGAGACGGGCCCCAGGACGCCGGCGTGTAAGTGACTGGGCTCACACCTACGTGTGTGCTCCGTGAGACCCGTATTGGAGACACCCATGAGGTGGCTCTCGGCTGCCTGGGACGATCGGCGGAAAGTCCGCAGGTTCCTGGCCGCCCCTGAGCTCAGCGGCCCCCCCGGAACGAACGTTGTCGTGGGAAACGTCGACTCCTGTGACGGCTCCCTGCGCCTCGTCCGTTTCGCGTTCGCCGCTTCTCTCTGGGCTCCAAGGGGGACCTCCGGGAGCGAGGCCAGGGTCCCCTGGACCCGCGAGGAGGCGCAGGGCGGGGCGGTGGGGGGGGGCGCTCCTGCAGCCGTTCCCCGGGGACGGCTAGCGGTCAGCAGCGTGTTGTGAGTTTGCTCAGGACGCGTGTCAGCGGGTCTGAAGACTCGCTCGGGGGACAGGGCAGCCTGGGACCCACGCATGATGTGGGACCCACGCATGGGCCGGGCTGGGCTGCGGAGGTGGCCGCTGCATTCCCTGCCACCCCCGGGGTGGCGCCCGGCCAGGCAGCCCCCAGCAGCCTCTGTCCCGCAAATCTCGGTCACTGGGCTCCAGTTCCGGCGTCCCGGGCAGCCGGGCGGCCACACACTCCTGCTCTGCCCCGCGGCCCGGCCACAATCGGCGGCGCCGTGTGCCGAGATGGCTTTTCTGTGGCTGTGCCCGGTGTTCCTCTGCGGGTCGTCCCTGCGCCCGGTGGGGGTGGGGACGGGGGCTGGAGGGGTGGGGGTTGTTTGTGAACTACTTGCCCGTTTATACACGGCTCCCCCTGAGAGAGCCAGCACGCCCCGTAAATCCCCCTCAGCGACCAAGGTGGACGCGTTTACACGGAAAGGAAGCGATTAGGAGTCCGCCTCTGCATCATGGTTTCACGCCCGCGCTCGGGAGTGGACAAAGCGTCCCCGTGAGTCAGGCACCCGCTTGAGGCCGTCAGCGGCAAAGCCGTGACCCTGCAGACGGCGTCTTCCCCAGTGGGGGGGTGGGGCACGCTCTGAGGGGCCGAGACCCAGACCCGGGCCGGCCGAGAGGGGACTGTGTGTGTGCTTGTCCACGAGGAGCTCCCTTCCCACTGTCACCCGCAGCGGCAGGGGGTCTGCCAGGGGAGGACGGGGGGCTCTGTTCTCCGCTGAAGCCCCCAAGCACAAGCGCCGTTTATGCTGCAAACATTCCACATTTTTAAAAAGATTTTATTTATTTATTTTTAGAGGGAAGGGAGGGAGAAAGAGCTAGAGAGAGAGAGAAACATCCATGTGCGGTTGCTGGGGGTCATGGCCTGCAACCCAGGCATGTGCCCCGACTGGGAATCGAACCTGCGACGCTTTGGTGCGCGGCCCGTGCTCCATCCACTGAGCGACGCCAGCCAGGGCTGAAGTTAGGCATTTTTAAATTCAGTACACTGTCCGCTGTCGGGGTCAAAAGATGAGTCTGGGAAGGCGGGCCTGCCGAGTGTCGGGGCCCGGGGTGACCTCGCACCCCACTTGCTGAAGCCGTTCCCAGGCAGAGACAGGGTCACACAGCGAGGTCCCACCGAGAAAGGTGAAGGGTGAAGACTGGGGGAGACCCACTTCCAGCGAACCATCTGGGAAGGCCCCTTTCTGCGGGGTGTCCCCCCGGCGACCCCCACTCATGGCCTGAGAAAGCATGAGTGTCTGCAGCCTCTGACGGGCAGGTGAGCTGCACCCCAATGCCGTCTGGCAGGCGGAGACGCCGGCGTGTGAGTGACAACGACCGTGTTCACCGCCGGTGGCCGTCCATCTGAAATGCCCGGCCAGCCACGGACCCTCTGAAAGCAGCCTGAGTACAAAAGCCAGCAGCCACCACAGAGCCATCCACGGCACGGCCGGCACGTGGCTGCCGCAACTGAGATGGCACACGGGAAGTTCACGGGCAAGATCCAAGCCACCTGCTTGGCAAGGAAGCTGCGTCCGTGGCTGGGACGCTTTCTCCTCCCTGGGTCACCGTGGTCCATTTCCACTGACTTTTGGGCTGGGTTTCATGTCGTCCACTCAAAGCCAGCTGTACTTCAGGCACGGGGGCTGCTGGGGTGTGAAACTCACCCACCCCAAATCCTCGCGTTGTGTGTGGGTCGTGGATTCGAAAGGAACACAGGCTCCCCGCTCTGCGGGGCTGCGTCTCCGCCGTGTGGCACAGAGAAATCCCGTGTGGCACGGAGAAATCCCGTGTGGCGTGAATATGCTTTGTCATTTCACCTGGCCTGCTAAACGCTGCTTCTGCCAGCAAAGGGCCCCTGGGGCTTTGGAGCGCGCCTGTCTGACCTGCCCTCTTGTGCATCCTGTTTACCGGGCGGGGTGATACTTTGTATTTTAAAGCATGCACCATAGATTCTGGCGTTCGTACATTGTTTCCAGGCGTAGGCCACGTTCCGTCTTACTGAAGGTCAGCGACGAAAAAGTGTCCCATGTGTACAGAAATGTTCACGGCCACCTTTGTGGCGTTTTCAAAGCTGCGTTTGGGTGGCTCCGCAGGGCTGCCTACCAGAGGCGCCAAAAGTTTCTCTTCGGGGCGCGTTAGGAAACATTTTCAGCTTCCGGAGCCAAGTCATCTGTTACAATGTACGTGGCCGTGTTTCAGGCCAGCGTGTGGGTGGGCCCTGAAACATGAATGGGCCGTACTTTAAACAGGGCACACAGTATCCTTGTTTTCACGGGTTCCAGCCGGGAAGCAAACACGTTTTTCCCGGGCTCCACGGACCCGTGGGTGGGTGGTGGCGGGCCGGGGTGGGGGGCAGCCCTAGCAGGGGGCGTTCGTGACCCCAGCTCTATCTCTATTGAGAGCTTGCCGTGGGGGACCACGTCCCCTGCCCTCTTTGTCCTTGGGGCCTGGGAGGAGGACAGACGGCAGGTGGTCACAGGACAACTGGAGACATTGTTGCAAAGCGTGATGCAGGCTCTCGATCAAGGGGGGAGGCGCTGCGGTGGTGGACAATGGAGGGATAGGCGAGTTTCTACGGGGCAATCCGGTGGGGCTTCACGGAGGTGGTGTCTGCTGGGCCGAGGCCCGCCGGTGGCCAGGCGTTGGTCCGAGAGCGGAAAGGAGAAAGACGGAGGCGCAGGGATTCACCAGGCAAGGGAGAGCCGTTCTGACAGTGCAGCCCCGGCTGGTGCGGGCTGTGATGCTTCTACCTTCGCCTGCGTTCACAGGGCGGAGCCCATGCGCCCCTCCCCTCCCCGCTGAGACCCGCCCGCCTCACTGCTGCCCACCCGGTAAGGCCCGCGGAGGACAGCCCCGGAGACCGTCTGCCCGCCGCGACCCGCGGAAGTAGCAGCCTCGCCGGTGTCTGTCCGTCACTCTGAAAACGCCGTCGCCCGTTCGGTCCCCGGGGGCCGGCCTCCCCTGGGCTGGCGGGTGAAGACACCGGAGACCTGATTCATGGCCCTCGGGAAGATTCCGACGCCCTAGGGGTGGCACGCGTGTGGGGTCGTCCCCGTGTCCTTTTCGTCCAGAAAGGGTGTTGCAACCCAAGGTCACTCGGCCGACAGGGAGCATGAATGAGGGTGGAGACGTTTTCCCAGGGAAAAGGGGGACTTCCTAGGGGCGGGATGCTGAGAAGCGGGGGGTGGGGGGTGGGGGGTGTGGGCGGGACCCCTGAGGCTCAGGCTCGGGACCCTGACGCCCCCTCCGCGGCCCTGGGCCCTCCGGAAGCTCCCGTGTCTGTGCGCCCAGGCCGGGCGTGAGGAGCAAAGCGTGGCCTCTGTGCGGGGACGCGTATCAGTTCCTGCGTGAGCCCGCCCACTGGGGTGACGGGGAACAAATCGAGGGTTCCAGGGGCGGGGGAGGGTCTTCCGACACGGCCTTGCGCTCTCGGTCCGGCTGCCAGAGACAGCGCCGGGTCCAGGCGATGACTCCCGCCAGGGGCGGGCTGGGCCAGGTCGGAAGGCCTTTGGGATTTCACCTCCTTGGGAGGGGCTGAGCTCCGGGCATCCGGTGGGTGGGGTCCAGGGATGGTGCTCTGCGTCCCCCCTGTGTGTGCGCAAGACCACCCCACCCCGAGAAAGCATCGTGGAGCCCTGGGTGGACAGCACCCAGGCAGGGACACCCTGCTCCAGGCACAGCGGACTTGACCATCTCTTGTCCCTTCTTAGAACAACATCCAGGGGCCATTTGCTTTCAGGAGGCTGCCCTGGCATCAGAACTCATGGGAACAGGGTGAGCTTGCAGGATGCATGTTCCCCCCCAGGTGTAAGCCCTCCAGCAGAGAGCACGCTCCCGCCGCAGTGAGCCATCGGGGCGGCTTAGCAACGGGGCAGTGGGGTCCGCGGCCAGCCATGGCCAGGGCTGAGCCGCTTACCGGACCCCCCGTCTCCCGGGGTTTCTGTCCTGGGCTCGTTAAGAGGACCGTGGGCTCCTTCTCCCTGTTCCAGACGCAAATTTCCCGAGCGCTTTACAGATGAAAGTATTTCCTAATGCTTGTAGTGATAGTGGCGGGGGGTCGGCTTTGATTTCTGACCCAGCTCTCGGAGCCTTAAGCGCTGGCTTGGTCGAGTTTGATGTGTGTTGCTCTGCAAAATCACTGTATGTTTGGTGAGGACGTGCTCTGAGTCCTTTTTTTTTAATTTTTTTGGTGGTTTTGGTCCGGAGGGGAGGTGGGCAGGCGGTGGACCCCACTGGAAGTGCGTAGAACTAGGGCCCGGATGCAGTCGCTGAGTGTGCGTGTCAGGAGGCTCACGCTTAACTCGCGATGAACTGAGACCGTATATATTCACAGTGCGGGCTTAATGCACGGGGGGCGGGCGTGGGGGGTTTCCCACGGGGCCGAAACGTCCGCTCCGACATTCCTCATGACCGCGTTCGTTCCGTCTAACCCACGTAGAGACCCCTCCCCCCGGGGGGGCGGTCCCAGAGGGCGTCCTCCGGCAGCATTCTGGGGGCTTGGGGACAGCCTGTTCGAGTCCCCCTTGCAAGGGGGGGGAACGACATCGGTGACCGTGGACAAAATGCTTTCATCTTGAGCCTGCCGTTTCCAATGTGCTGCCCACCCAAGCAAGGTCTAGAGACGCTGAAGTTTTCTTAGGAGGCTTTTAATTCAATTTTATTTTATTATTTTATTTTATTTTTATTTTTATTTTATATTTTATTTTATTTTATTTTTTATTTTTATATTTTATTTTATTTTATTTTATTTTATTTTTTATTTTTATTTTATTTTTATATTTTATTTTATTTTTATATTTTATTTTATTTTTATTTTTATATTTTATTTTATTTTATTTTTTATATTTTATATTTTATTTTATTTTTTATTTTTATATTTTATTTTATTTTATTTTTGTAAAGGCACATTTTTATGAGAGGCCTTTCCATTGCATGAGCTCTGCCCACTGTCTCTGGGCGTATTTTGCTTCCATCCGTCGTCGGACAGAGAGTGGTTTTTAAGAATCCCTTCAGGGTAATGGCAAGGTTTCTCGAGTGGACCGGGCGGTCTCAGTGAAGATACTGCACGTGGCCGAGCTCCGCGCTGCGAACCACACACGTCGGAGGAAGATAATTTCCCACCTGAAACATCTCCACCAGGTTAGGAGGGAAGGCTGATGAAGAGCGAAATCCCGGAGAAAAGGGGGCCATTTGGAGGGGGTCTCCTAACCGAGTGCTCGCCGGCAGGGAGGCCCCCCGGGGTGCCCCGTGCACCCGTCCGAGGAGGAGGCAGGAGGCTGGACACACAAACGCCTGGCTGAGTCCCTGCCGGGAAGGGCCAACCCAAGTCTGTTGACAAGGACATGGAAGAATCCAGAATGCTCTGTGTTTTATGAGATCTTCGACCCACATTCTTCCCGAAAAGTCTGCGTGAGGCCCTTTAGGCCAATGCCAGACAAACTGGAAACATTGTGAAACAGCGCAGTGAAACCTGACCCCCGGATGCGCCCTGGGTTGCAGACGGAGCCAGGGGGCGCCGCTGTGTCGGCGGGCCTTGTAGGAGGTGGGCAGGGAGTCGCCTAGGGCGCCCTCTGCGGAGGCGGGAGGTCCTGCCCTGGGTTTAGGGGTCTCGAGCCAGACTCTTCAAGGGTGCACGCCCACGATCTGTGTTCCTCACTGTGCGGCGTGATCATCCCACACCAACACCAATCCACGTCTCACCCTTCCTGAAGCTTCCGACGGAGAAAAACGCAGACGCTCACCTACACAGAGGGAGGTGGAAAGCAAAGCCAACGTGAACAAGTATCCATGGTGAATCAGAGTCCCTTTTCCAACTTCCGCTACTTGAAACTGTGGCGGGGACGTTGGTTTGAAAGACCACAGAGGGCTTGGGTGTGCAAAGCGGTGGCCCACCGCCAGTACGTGGCCTTGGGTGCGCGCCACCCACAGTCCAGTCTCCTCCGCCGGTCACCCGAGATCGCGCGGCCTGAATGCCCTTCCACCTCCGCGCGCCCCCGCCGCCGTCTGGCGTCCACCGCGCTGCTATCTGTGCCTGTCAGTGTGGACGCTCGTCTGGCGCTTTCTGTTTTCCGTCCTGCATAGCAGCGCGCCCCCTGCGGTTTTGGAGAATGGGACGGTTTTCCCAAAGAAGCTGAGTTGGGGGGGAAACCTGTGCGTGCGTTACTGCTGCTGCTGCTCCTGCTGGAGGAGGGGGTGCGTTCCCCGGCTTGGTTTCTGAGCTGCTGTGCGGGGCCCGTGCAGGCGAGGCCCGGGTGTGGGGGGTGCTCCCTGCTGTGAGGGGGACGTGGCTACCCCTGGTCCCGGTCACTGAAGACGATGAATGCCTCTTTTCTCGGGTTGGTGGTGCTTGCAAACGCACCGTGGAGCCCCGCCCCCGTTGCTGTGCCACGTAACTGCTTCACGCACCGTGAGCACGTGGTAGGTGCTCGTCCCCACGCGCGTTCAGAACGTGGCCGCAGAGATGCACGTGCACGCCCCCTCGTGCGCCGCCCAGCTGCAGTTTCTCTTCCCTGGCGCGGGGCTCCGGTGTTCTGGTCACTGCGTGCGCGGAACCCTTCCGCGTGCGCGCAGGGGGGCTGCCCCAGGATGCGGTCTGTTCCCGTCCCCCACTCCGAATTCGTCTCTGCGTGGGCCGCCAACTCAGGCGTAGCCCCGGCGCCGCGGGCCTGTGGACCCCTGTTGCCATGAGGACTAGCAAACCCCATTTCGCTCCGTCCTGATGGGCGGCGCTGGCTGCAGAACGTAAAGCTATAGGCTTGTTCCACGTTCTTAAAAAAACGAGCGTGGAAATACACCTGCGGGGCGAGGCGTTCCGTTTCCATGGAGACAGCTACGGACGCACCGGGGCCGGGCCCTTCTTTGGCGAGCGTTGCGTCCGCTCTGGGGGGACACGTAGGCCGGCAGCCCCGATGTGTACGGGCTGCCTCGGTTTCTTTACGGACTGACCCACAGCTCGCGGGGTCAAGTACACAGGAAGGTCTCCTTCACGGTCCTCAGGAAATAGTGCCTGTTCCAGCGAGTCGGCGTGCTTCGTCACGTTTCCGTAGGGAGTGGCGGAAGCCGAGAATAAATGTCTGTAATTAGATCGATCTTATCATTCAGGGCCGCGGCCTTCTCACTTTAAAGTGACAATTAGTGGATGGTGAGTCGTTGTTACAACACTGTGGTCACCGATACAACGATACGACTTTGTATCTCCCGTTTTATTAAACCCATACACCATCACGTTACTGTGTCTATAGTAACTTATGTAATTTGTGTCTCTATTTTGACTCGAAGCAGCCCTACAATAATCGGATGACGTCATGGAAATTTACCCTCTAATGTCCTCCCCTTCTCATCCCCTGCTATCAGCAAGGAAAGTGGACATTTTTCCCCCCCGAATTCTACATTTTTTAAAAGATTTTATTTATTTTTAGAGAGGGAAGGGAGGGAGAACGAGAGAAACATCAATGTCTGGTTGCTGGGGGCCGTGGCCTGTAACCCAGGCATGTGCCCTGACTGGGAATTGAACCCGCGATGCTTTGGTTCGCAGCCCGCGCTCCATCCACTGAGCTACACAAGCCAGGGTGAATTCTACATTTTTATAGCCCTCGTTGAGTCTCTGGGGGTCCTTACATTTTTCTCGTTTGTCCTCAGAGCCGGTGGCGATTAGATGAGTGTGTCCAGTTTCACTGGAATCTCTCAGACCAGGTGAACCCGGAGCCACCTGGTTGTAACGGTCTGTCAGGTTTCTTTACTTGGAGACTGTAACATTCTCCAAATAAAGAAAAAAAAAAACCTGTACAATATACAGTTAATGTGCACTTACAAGTCAGATGGCATCTCTTTTCTTACTTGTGTCTTTTGCTTTTTAAAATCAATATCCTACTCATTATTCTGA